AGGACACGAACTCTGAGAAAGGGGCCTAACCTCTCAGTGTGCATAAGCAGCAGCCCCACCTGTCTCAGGTCCCCGCAGACCCACCTAAGGTCCCACCTCCGCCCTGTCTTCATCACATACCTGCCTGCTCGTTGGCCGCCAGGTTCTGTTCAAACTCGATGCGCAGCATCTCGTACTCCTTGCGTACCTGGGCCAGCGTGTCCTCCAGCTGGATGACCTCTGTGCGCAGCTTCTTCTGCAGCCCCAGCTCATCACTCTACAGATTGAGGTATTAAGGACTTGCACAATCCCTTAGCCACTCGAGGCCCTCAGTAAACCTTTCTTGTCCCAACTTCAGGCCTCAGTGACTTAGGAAGAATTTATGCCCAAGGAGCTCTGCAGGCACACAGGGCCTCCAAAGTCCAGGAATGCCCTGACCCTAACTAAAGATCTGGCCCTAAACTCCAGCCTCCAGCCTCCAGCCATACCTCCATATGCTCAATGTGTCTCAGGTGGGAGTTCTTGGTGGCGAGCAGCAGGCCCCGGGCCTCATCCAGCTGAGTCTTCACTTGCAGAGACTCATTGTAGAGCAGTGAGAACTGGGCCTGCAGCATTCGGTACTCCCCCGTCTCCCGCACCACCTCTTCAGGAAGACTCCGCAAGGCCACCTGGAGATGCCCAGGACTGGTCAGCCACAGAATTCAGGGCTTAGTGCCTACCATGCAGGGTCAGGCCAGTCCACCCACAAACAGAGCCCACCTTGAGGCGCTCATTTGTCCGCACAGCCCCCTGAAGTTCAGCCTGCAGCTTCTCCAGCTCTGCCATGCGGCTGTTGGCCAATTCCTGGTTTTCCTCCAACTCCGCATTCAGCATCTCAAACTATGGAGAGGGGAGCATGGTGGGAGGCGGGGTGATGAGCGTGCTTCCCTCACCTCCCTCTAGCTGCTCCACCCCATGGAGAGCAGTGACGGACTCTGAAGCCCTAGGGGCAGGCCAGATAAAGGCATTTTCCTAAGGACTTCTAGGCAGGTGGAAGAAACTTCAACACTACATGGTCAGTGTTGGAAACGAAGATCCGTGGCTGACAGAGAATTACAGAAGTCTTTCTGGAAGATTTAGAGAACAACCCAAAGTGAGGGGAAATGACACAGTAACCCTCAGAGCACCAAGAAAATGCAATGACCAAAAGGTGAGCGGGCACAGGCAAGATGAGGAATGAGACAGTGGTTAAATGCATTCTCTCAGGGAGGCCCATCCTCAGACACCCAGCTAAAGCCAGTCTCCTGTAACACACTTCCACTGATCTCACGCTCGCTCTCTTTTTTTTTTTTTCCCACATTTTAGGAGGATGGGTTTATTAAGAAAAAGGACAAGGTGAGACTTGCACAGACACAAGCGGGCAGAAAGAGCTGCCTCTGCTGCTTTGTGAAGGGAAAAGAAATGCCTACATAGTCACAGGTGAACAAAGAGCTGTTCACTGAGCCCTTTCCTGTGCTTTTACTTTGTGGTAGTGTACCCACCCCCAATTAGAACCTAAGCATGAAATCTTTTTTTCTAACTTTGATTCCAAAATATTCCTGTTTCCTAGCACAGTGTCCACTATTTAGTAGCCAGTAACTACTTACTAAACATATACATGAATGAATAAAACAAAGAGCAGCACGAGCAACAGGGCCTCAGAGACCATGTCTGAGTGTTTGCTGTAATTCTGAGGGGAATTTCAAAGGTGGAGGTGGGGTAAAGATTACGGGAGAGACTGGAAGACTGGTTGCTCACCTTCTGCATGTTGAGTGTGATCTGGCACCTCTGGGGGCCTGAGGAGCTCCCGGACACATAGTAGCCAGAGTTGAGCTGTGGAGAAAAGAGAGGCAGGCACATAGGAGTGGGGTGGAAAAACCAGGGCCCTAAGTACCCAGCCCTGGCGCCTCCTGACCCAGTGCCCAAGCCCTACCTGCTCCAAGGCCTCTGCCAGGTGTTTATTGAGCTTTTGTTCACGCTTGCGCAGTTTCTCAATGTCCCACTGCAAGTCCTCTACTGTAGTCTCCATCTCCAGCACCTTGGTCTCTGCTGACGTCACTTTATCTTGGAGCTCAGAGTACTGGACAATGAAGGAACCAGAGGCTTAGATGAGGCAACTTGATTCCTTGAGATCCTCAGGTGCCCATCCAACCCAAACCCTGGTATGGTCCTAATCCCACCGTCCCAAGAGCCCAATTCCCACCTCCAATGAGATTCGATGATGCTTTTCCTGCAGTTGGGTAGCCAAGTCCTGTAGCCGCCGGTTCTCACGGCCCAGCTCCCGGGTGCGTGCCCGAGTCACCTCACCAGGCTCACTGTCCCCTGGGAAGACAGAGCTCAGGTAAGAGCCAAGTGCAATGAGTATTAACCCATTAATGTGTTAACTCATTGTAGAATCTACTATGTGCACACTGTAATCCACCAAATCTCGTGCTGATTTTTCATGACAAAGTCAAGAATCTTTATCCTCACCATAGAGAGGCAGAAACCAACTCAGGGAGAAGAGCAATTTGTCCAGAATGCCCAGGCTGGAGTGACAAAACTAAGGTGAGAGAATGCTATAAGCGTGCAACACCTGGGCACTTACTGCTATGCCATATGCATCAGCAACTGTCACCAAAATTTGTGCTAAGTGTTCCAAAGAAGTCACCAGCCAGAGGGAGTTACCCCACCAGCATCACATCAGCAATTTCCATTTGTCTCTAACTCTAGAAATCAAAGCAAGAGGCACCCACCCCCCCATCCCAGAGCCCTAACCCTTGCTCTGAGAACAAAGCTGATTTGTGTCTTGGGGAATTTGAGGGGAAACTACAGAGACACAAATGGAGTGGGGTGAGGACACAAAGAACTAACCTCGGCTGTATATTCGCTGACAGAGTTCCTCCACCCGGCGCTGCAGGCGGTCTGAGGCCTCTACGACACGGGACACCGCTGCCTTGGAGAACTCCATACGGCCCTGCAGCTGCAGCTCCACCTCCTCACTACTGCTGGCACCCAGTGCCACCACAAAAGCCAAGGCTGGCTCACTCAGAGGAGGCCGCAGCTGCATTGGCAGGGGATCTGGGAGGGATGGACAGACCCTCATGAGGGTAATAGCAGCAGTTACCACGACTCTGTACCAAGTTCCAGACCAAACCCTTCAACATTCTATTGCTCGTTGAGTCAACACAAGCAACACCTACAGTAAACTGTTATCCCCCCATCTTGAAAGTGTAAAAACTGAGTTTCAGGTGGCTAAATAACTTCCTCACAGCCAAAGCTCCCAAATCACTTTCAAATAAGTCTTCTTTCCCTTTCCAAGCTACATTAGAACCACATACACTATTTTCCTTTCAGAGCCAGCTATTCTTTTTACTTATGCTTTATAATCATTTCCTCCCTGATGACATTTTTTTTTCTGGCTTATCTTCGCCTCTTCTTGCATGTGTAGAACACTGTCAAGTATATAGTCAACATTCAAGATTAATACCTTCCTAAATTAAATGAATGTCAAAAATACGAATTGCACTATGAACCCAGTCACTCAGATTCCAAAACCTGTGTTCTTACTCACTTTGCTGCCCAAACATGAAATCAATTTTATGTGTGCGGAAGGGGAAGCAGAGAATTGAGGAGTTTAATATCAAAGTCCCCTCTTCTCTGAGATTTTCCCCAGAATTTAATTAAGCTCCCCACATCCTCGGACTCTTGCCCTACCCCTCAGTTCCGATGTCCCTGGCTCTGTGAGAGGGGTCTCATCATGTGTTGGCCCCTCTTGGGTTCCAGGCGCCTCTGTCCCTGAAGACAGCTCCCCCTGGCTTTCATGGTGTCGAAGAAGGGCTTCCACAGTTTCATCCAGCTGAAGGGAGAAAGCACCAAAAATATTATGAATCCCTCAGGTGCTTCCCAGCATGATACTCCTTTCCCAGGAGAGGAGTCTGAGGACTGGCAGCTGATCAAGGCCAGGTGCTGGAAAGCAGAGAGGCATCCACCTGGGCCCAGTAGCGATTGACAATGAGGAGTGTGGCATCGTCTGTGGCCTGACGCTTCTCCAGCTTCTCAATTCGTTCCCGGAGTTCATCTTCACAAGCCTGTCGCTGTTCCAATCGCTCTGCTAGTTTCTTGTTCTTGAACTGCAGAACCTTCAGGTCCATCTCTTCCTACCATGGAAAATAAAAGGGCCAAGGAAAGTGTCAAAAAGGAACCAAGAAACCAATCATAGAAAGGGAACAGCAACTGGAATGTGGGAGGAAGTATCCCTAGACTGTTAACAGGCATGAGGCTGTCTCAGAAAAGACAGGATAGAGCCTGTACTGACCCCCGCACGGAGGAACAACGCCAGACACCCTCAGAAACATCTTAGCTGTCAGGATTTCATTCTGTTTCTATATCTTTTTAACCCTGACGCCTATGACAAGCCACACACCCTCTGCAAACTTCTTTCCCTATCTGCAAAAGAAAGGCAGCGTTGTGTCCTCATCCTCCTTTAACAGTGCAGTCCGTGAAGTGGAACTTGATATAGCTTAGGGAACTGGGAGTAAGATTCTGGATGATTTGGGAGAACAGATGTGAGTCTGGCAAGCTCTGCGGGCTGGGGCAGGAGTCTACAAACCGTGGAAGAGATGCCTCCGAGACGAATGGGCTCTATAAGTGTGGTTGTGGTTTTTTCCTCACGGCTCAGCTTCTCTGGAGGCCCAGAGCCCCCGTCGCCGGCGGCGCGTTTATTGCCGGGCCCAGACATGGCCGCAGCGGCGAGGACCCGTGCAGGGGTCCGCCGAGGGAGGTGAGGCAGGCGGAGGCCGCACTTCCGTCCCCTGCAGGAGACAAGAGAGCAGAGATGCGGCGCCCGCACTCCATAAGACCTTACACACCTGATGGACGTCGCCCCCGCCAGCCCCGAGCCCCTCACCAGCAGCAGGATCACCCCAGCGCCGCCATCTTGGACCTCACCGGACGTCACCAGCGTGCCCCCCGCAGAGCGCAGGCGCCAGAGGCAGTGCCGGATGCCGCGAAACTTCATTTCCTGTTTCTATTGGTCGCGCTTTGTCCCGCCTCTCTGGTCGGGTTTGGTTTCTTCCCGAACACCTCTTCTTTCTCTCCGTGATTGGCCAATGGACAGTTCCCATGGTAACTGACCCCGCACTTCCCAGCCCTAATAACATTGCTGGCCCCTGGTTAGCAATTTTGAAGAGGGCTCAGTAGCCGGGGCTTGCAATTTGTTACGCATGCGCATTCTCTCCGCACTGATTGGCGCGCACCCACACTTCGGCCCTTCCTCCGTGAGCCCCTTAGCAACGGCGGCTGCACCGCTGAGGCGGTCCCAGAACGGAGACGGGACAGAGCCTGTGTCGACCCTCGGCACGGAGGAGCGACGCCAGGAGCACCACCGATTCCTGGGACCGAGGATGCAGCCGGAGTGTGAACAGACCTCCGAACTGCAGCGGGAGCCCGAGAGGGAACTCGGCCCGGTGGACGAATCGGCCTCGCGGATGCGAACGGTCCTGCGGCAAGAGCCGGAGGCCGTGGCCTCGGTGGAAGCGGACGAAGATCCTGCCGCCAATTTGTTCCCGGTGAGGGGGGGGCAGAGTGGTCCACTCAGGAATGTTTATAAAAGGGCTCCTTAGCAAGGCGTCACCCCTCATTATACTTACTAACATTCTAGACGTTTCCCGGGCTGCCTTGGTGAAGAGACAGGGTGTGTGTGACCCCACTGCTAAAATGCTCGTGGGTAGAGCATAGGGCTGGCCGAAGCCCAGCCCGCCGAGCGGCCGGCGTGGCTCATACATACGCCTTAAGATGAGAAGGCAAGTTAGCGCGTTCCCAGGCCCCCTGGAGGCTGGCGACGGGCCAGGGACTAGGCAGGGATAACACAGCTCCGCCTTCCCAATTCGCTTTCTCTCCGCAGCCCCCGCTGCCCCAGCCCAGGATCTGCATGTGGTGAGTGTGAAGAACCTTGGGGGAAAGTTATAATTCACGCTTACATTGTTTAGTTCCTCCCCCCGCCCCCGAAGTACCCTCCCCCTCCCCCCGCAGAGCTGTCAAACTGCAAGGGCATCCCCATTTTACAAATGAAGAGGCTGATGCCTAGAGATGCAATTACCCAAGGTGACTATAAGTCGTGCATAATGTTCCTCCAAAGCGAGATTATGGGAACAGGCGAGTCTAAGCCTGAGGATGTAAACGGACCGTTAAGGCTGCTCTGAGCACTGTATCACAGGACACTGAAGCCCACAGGGGACAATTTGCCCAAAGTCATACAGCAAAGGAGTGGCAGAGTGGAAACAAGAACTCAAGTTTCCTAACTCTAGGCTTGATAAATGAAGAGAATCATGAGTTCACTCAGGCCACATCTTTTATTTACTGGAGAGAGTGAGGCCCAGAGAAGCAAGTTAATGGAAAGGCTAAGCTCAAACTCAGGTCTCCTGGTTACCACTCCAATGCCGTAGCCATCATAGCCCTGTCGTGAGCCTTGATGCGTAATGGCCCCCAACACCTTTTCTCCTCTTTCCCTGTAACAGGAAGTATCTGGACATCCATTCCATGCACAGGCTGGAAAAGACAGCCAACGTTGAGGAGATGAGGGAGTATGGGGCGGGGGGGAGCAGAGGGAGGAGAAGAGCTCTAGGGAAAGGCTGAGGGAGGAGGGTTGGGGAGGCATGAGGAATGCCTGGCTCCCAAAGCATGTGGTGTGCTAGTGTGGGGTGGTGAAGTGAGGAGTCACTCACTCCTCCCTCCCTTCCAAGGGTGTTGGCGGAACTGCTGGGGCTAAGCTATCCTGAGAAGAGCCCACAGGAAGCCATCACCCTGGACCTTTTCTCCCACGCACTCATCTTCTGCCGCCAGCAGCACTTCTCACCAGAGCAGACATCAACAGCTTGTGCCCTGCTCCAGGATCTTCACAAGGCCTGTATTGGTGAGAGGCGGCAGCTACGGGAGGGTTTGAGTCCGGGGAGATGGGGGGAGCAGTAATGACACATGGCCCTGGGAAGTACAAAAGGGGGAATACCACCTGGAATTTTTGTTGTCATTACTAGCAGTATTATCGTGCACAAGTTATTTCACTTCTGAAATTCTCCATTTATAAAAGGATACAGCACTTTTGGAGACTGTTCTGAGGAATACATATAAACACACACCCAGTGCGCAATAAAACCACTCCTGCTACCACCTTTTATTTCCAGTTCTGATTTCTTCAGAATGTTTAACAGGAGTTGGAATCATGTACTTTTTGATTTATTGTATGTCACTTCCACTAGAAGGGCCTTGTGTGTCTTGTTCAGTGCCTAGAATAGTACATAGTGGGTACTTGCTATTTGTTAAGTGAACTAAGAAACATGCTGGGACTTAAACCTAGGTTTGCCCACTTCTGAAGCTCATGCCCAGTAAGTAGCTGTTGAGTCAGATGAGAGAATGATTAGCAGGGAGGGGACTCACTGTCGCATGTTGCTTTCCCTCCCAGCAACCCCCTTGGGCAACGTGGAGGAATGTTACCGCTACTTCACCAGTGTGCTTTTTTGCCACGGAGTCAGGGTCAGTTCCCCTGGAATGAGATCTTCACTCTGCCCCAGACAAGGTCTAGACCAGTCTCCCGCCTACTCACACACTCATCATCGTCCTCATCTTCCTCTGAAGGCTACAGTGGGCTCTCCTGAATTGCCAGGCACTTGGAGAAAAGGCCAAGGCTTCAGGAGGTGGTCAGACCTCTAATTCCCCACCACCCTCACAGCGGCCCCCCTTCAGTATCAACCTCTTTACGGAGGAACAGCTGCTGGCGCTGGCAGATTATGTGGTCAACACCTACTTCCGCCACTTCAAGCTCTACAAATATGTTTTTACACCCCAGGTACTGGTCATGGGATACAACAGCCACCCCTCCCTCAGTTCAGATGTCCTCCTCCTCTCAGCCCCCTCTTCCCTCTTCCCAGGTGCGGCTGGATCTCTCTTTGTCATATATGGGGCTACAGCCACCCAAGCTCTGTCCAGAGGGTGAGACAGGTAAGAGAGTCTGCCGGGGCTAGGGCTAGGCTTGACAGGGGTAAGGACTGGGTGGGCTGGGGCTGAAGCTGAAGCCTCCTCCTTTTTCTGGCTTACAGAGAAAGAAGTTGAGGAGGTGGAGGAGCAGGTAGTCACCCTAAAGGAGGAGGAACTGGAAACAGCGGCCGAGCCACAAGAGCCAAGTGAGGACCTGGAGGGCTTAGGGTCCCCTGTGGCTTTGGGCAGGTGTAACATGAAAGGTCTTAGATCAGATCAGTTCTGAAGAGTTGGCAATCATATCACCAAATGGTTCCTTAAGCAGAAGTCCATAGATGGAAGTACAGCAGCCTGGAGTTAGACAGGGGCTCCAGAAAAAGGCAAGTTGTCAAACTTAAAAAGGCAAGTTACAGAGAACAGTAAGAGCCAGCACATACTTGGCAATACTATATGCCAGTCGGCCCTTTTTTAAGCATTTAACATTTATTCACCCACTTAATCCTCTCTCAATCCTAGATACTAGGGGTCATCACTATGCACGTTTTAGGTTAACATAACCTGCTGAAGATCACACAGCTACTAAGTCGCAATCCAGAAAGTCTGGCATAGTCCTCTGCCCCCTTTCTCTCAGAAGGGCTGGCTGACATTTCCTGAATTGAAGTAATACTGCCATCTGGGTATCCTCCAGGGGCACCTAGGTTGTGTCTGCCTAGCGAGGGGCCCCAGAGAACATCTCCCCTGACTGTTCTTTCTCTGTCCCGCAGGCCAAGTCTCCTTCCTCCGGGCCTACATCAGGACCCAGCTGAACAAGGAAGTGGAGCAGCTGCAACAGTTGGTGGAGGAACGGCTCAAGGCCAGTGAGGAAAGGCTCAACAGCAAACTGACCACACTAGAGAGGCCCTTCCAGTTACCTCCCAGCAAAGGCAAAAATAAGACCAAGTGACCCCCAGCATTTGCCCCAATAAAGGCCTGGGCTAGAGTGGCCCCATCCCCGCCCCCCTCCTGAGCACCTTCTGGGCTTCTCTGCTGAAGCCAGACACCATATAGAGGGCATTAGCTTTCCTATCATGTAGCAGGTTTTATTGCATAGCAGCACTGACAAGGCCAGGCATGGCATTCTGAGTGGCTTCCTTCTACCTCACCTCTGATCTCAAAGCCTTGGCCAGTGGTAATGGGTGTAGAGAGCTGATCTTTATGATTATAGGTGCACCTAGCCAGGCAGGGTGGCCTGAGGCCAGAGCCCAGAAGGGCTGGAATGAAAAAATCCTCCTCCTGGAGAGTCTTTTTCTGGGATTCCCCAAGGCTGAGGGGTTAACCCAGTGGCAGCAGGGCCTCATCTTCGGTGATGGGAGCTGAGTCCCCCTCCTCTTCAGGGCCCATGGTGGGAAAAGGTCTAGGGGGCCGGTGTTGGAAGAGGGCCGCCCGGTTCTGCTGCTCACCCTTCTTCACCCAGTGCCCATAGAGCCGGAAGGCACAGCTGTCGATGAGGCGCCGCACTGGCCGCAGCGTATAAGGGTCTCTCAACAGTGCGCTTTTGGTCAGTGGACGCACACGGTGGGTGCTTAAGGCAACTCGTCCTGCAGCAAGCACTGTCCACACTGCCACCTGGAAGGAGGCCAGTGTGAGCTCTAGGGGAGCATCCACCACAGGAGAAAAAGATCACGGGATAGAGGAGCAGGCCCAGGCCCTGATACTGAGGCTTACCCGGAACCGCTGGCGGGGGGTGAGGTTCCAAGGTTGGCTGCCTTCACAACGCTCAAAGAAGGGGTGTTGTAAGGCTTGCTCAGCTGTCAGGCGCTCCTCAGGATTCACCTGCAGCAGCCGTGAGATCTAGGGGAAACCCCAGAGCATAAGGGGCAGCTCTTGTGTCTCCCTTCTCACCCTCTCATGGCCCCAGCTCACCAGGTCTTTGACGGTGTTTGAGCGGTCATCCCACTCGGGCGAGCTAAACTGGTACTGGCCCTCCATGATCATGCGCAACATCAGGATCTGGCGCCGGTGCCAGAATGGTGGTGAGCCAGCCAGGAGTGTGAACAAGATCACCCCACAGGCCCAGCTAGGAAAGAGACCAGAGTCAGGCAGGACTCGGAGACAGGCAATGTGCTGAAGCACTCAAGGGAGGAGGAGAGGGGGCCAGAGACTCACAGGTCGACCTCCTTGCCGTAACCGGGGTGGGTTTCATCCATGGAGCATTTAAGGATCTCTGGCGCTAGATACCCTGGGGTCCCACACAATTCTGGGAAGAAAGGGGTGAGATTGACAGGATGCCACCAATGCCCTACAACCAGAGGCACCAGAGCTCTTAACTCTAGACCTCTGCTGGGGCCTCACATGTCAACTCGAATACCCACTAAAGACTCCTGGTGAAAACCTGATACTTTGACGGACTTCAAGGTCCTGCCCACCTGAATCACTTCCCTACTCCAACTCTCCAGCTTAGCTAACCTCCCTACTTCTCACACAACTTGTTACCATATTTTTACATACCCAATGCACAGGCAAAACAAAATTTAAATCTTTTCTGCATTCCAGTCTGCCCAAATCTCTTCTTCTTCCTACAATCTCTAGTTCATGGACCCACCACTCAAACGAAAGAAAATGAGTGGGAATGTGGAGTTTCTTAACGCATATATTGGGTAAGGCCCTCGCTAAAGCATTTTCCTGCCTCCCCCTTATGACCTCGTGATCAAGTCTGGATTCCTAAAGCACAGGACCCTCTATGACTTAACTCAATGCTGTATTTTTAGTTTCTTCCACCACTTCAGGCACCAATTCTTTCATCCCAGCAATTTCCAAACTGTAAACCATGGCAAACTTCTAGGAAATATTAATAGGCCTAACCAGAAAATGACTCTTGGGAAATTCATTCTTACACCGAGTGTTTATTAAACATGCACCTTGTACCAAGCACATACTAGACACAGCAGTGAATGAGATACACCCTGACCAAGCTGTTCACCAGAAAGCAAACAAATTATAGACTAAGTTGTGTGTCCCAAGAATAGAAAACAGGTTATTTAATGTGGCCTGGTGCTTTAAAGTGAAACTTGAATTACCCAAGTCAAGTGAGAGGGTACAGTGAGCAGGGGTGAAGATGCTTCCAGAATGGGGAAAAGTATAGATGGAAGCCCAAAGGGAAACAAAGCTCTTCAGGAAGTGGAGGTCCACAAGTGAGAAGCCGGGACCAACTCTCAGCCACATGACCTTGCACAAATCACTTCACCTCTCTCTAAGCCCTTCTATAAAATGGAGAGACAACCTATCTCAGATTTGTTGAGAGGCAAGCCAGGTAAAGACTACTGGTTCCTAGTGGTAGAATGCTCAGTAAATGTTGCTAACGCAAAGTCACAGAGAGAAAGTAGCATATAAATGCTCTGAGGAATCCCGCAGTTCAACCACCTTTGGTTTTCCATTTGTACTGGAAATACTTCAGTTGTGACAAAGCTACTGACATTGGTGAACCTGAGTCACCAGGTGAGAAGTGCTGTCTGGCCACATCAGAGCCCTCATGGCACCCAAGCACCTCACTGTGTCCCACCTCTTCCAGACCCCAAATGGCTACTGAGCCCTGCTATTCCACACTCCCTTTCTTTATTCCTGGGACAAGTCCACTCTAAGTTACTTTGCACCCAGAAGGTACTCATCAAGTACCAACTTCTCCCAGCTAACCAGCCTCAGGTTTGGGCTTTCTTCCCTCCCAAGCCTACTAGGGCACCAGATCCCCTCACCTCGAAGCTTCTCTCCAGGTTCCAAGTGGCAGGAGAACCCAAAATCTGAAAGTCGTATCTGCATGTGGTCATCTAGGAGAATATTCTCAGGCTTCAGATCTCGGTGCACAATATTGTTGGCATGGAGAAAGCTCACTGCTTCCAGCAGAGACCTCATGATGGACCTAGGGGAGGTGCAATCTCCTCTGCTTCTTCCTGCCCTGCCCCACTCCCTCCTCACCTCAGGGGCTACAGGCTCCGTCATTACCTGGTTTCCTTTTCTGAGAGGGCCACCTTCTCTGTGAGATAGTCAAACAGCTCTCCCTTCCGCATCCTAAAGAATAGGAGATCTTGGGAGGTAGGTACACCCCGTAGTGGGGGCTGAAAAAGTAAACCTGTGCTCAGAATACCATGGAAGAAGTCAACAGAGATCCTCTGTAGACAAACTACAGGGTCTCCAAGCACTCCAAGAGTAAACTGCATGTCAGGGTCAGTCTGGCCCAGTGGGCTGGCGATTGAAATATCTGCATTGTGCCACCATGGACTATTTTAGCAAGAAGTGTGTTCTTGTGACAGTTATTGTACAGGAAGTCCTTGTTATCTGTAAATATATTTTTAAAAGGCCTTTGAAGCGTATCTATTTAGACCACAGACCAAAATTTCAGTAATAGTGGCAAAAATACAGAACAGAACTTTATTTTGAATTGCTCATTTTATCTTGTCTTTATAAACATAATTCCAACACTTGAAATAAAAACACATGAGGTGTCTGGGGAATAATGTTCTGCAAAGCTGTATGATGGTGTAATGGACAGATACTTCCTACCATCTCTGACTTACATCATATCTACAATGAAGACTTCCAAGAGCTTCTTAAATATTTGGTATTCAAATTATTCTCTTCTGAAGTCTGCAACAGGCTTGTATTACATTGTGTAACCTCTGACAGATTCACACTGACCAGAAAAAGAACTGATGACGGAAACACCAGTGTAGGGCACTCAACAGTGAGATTGGTGAGAATCAAGTCATCAGTTCATGGATGAACACTCCCCTTTTAAAACAGCCTTTTCTTCTCTGCTAACCTTACAACCATGAAAGACTGGGATAGTGAACCCCTTGGGTCATGAAAACCCTTTGGATTTGACTGGTCACTACTCTCTTGAAGAGTTTGCCATAATCTAGGAAGCTAGGGAGAGGGGCCAGAGCCAGAGGCTGGCAGGCCAGGTCCCAGCTAGAGGAGAGGAAGGTGTGAGCAGGGTGGTCTTTAGCCCACTGCCTTAAGTCTGAGGCCATGCATGAAAGTGAGGTGGAGGAGGCTTCTTGAATTGGGGCAGGGAGATACTCACAGGTCAAACACCAGGAACATGAAGCTAGAAGACTCGTAGGAATCGATGAGAGTGACTGGGGAAAGAAGCAGAAAGGCAGAGAGATGGGAAGGAGCAGGCTGCATATTAAAGGGGCTTTTCCACCTTGAGGCAGCAGTGGGCTATTGCTGGGAATGGGGGAGAGCCAAAGGAAACCGTAAGCACCCAAAGGCTGGCCAGACTCTGAGGTGGAGCAGAGCCAGGTGAAGGGAGCAGGGGCATGGAGGCAGTGCAGGTGGAGGTAGTGGACTGAGAGGAGGGCCAGGAGGTGGGTGTCAGCTAACAGGAGGGGGAATGCAGCCTCACTGATGTGGGGGTGGCCAGCGACCTGGCGAAGGATGTGCGTCTCTCGCCGCGTGGCTTCTCGCACCTCCTCCAGCTGCTCAGGACTCAGTCGCTCAGCTGTCACTTCCATGATCTTCACCGCAAACTCATGGCCAGTAGCTCGATGAACGCAACGGCGGACCACAGAGCTCACTCCTCTGCCAGAGGGAGACAGCACAAGCGTCAGGGTCTCCTGTTCTTTGCACACGAGTGGAGCCTCAGCATGCTCACACCTACTATGCCAGACTTTGAAGACACATCTGGACAATGAGTTCACCCTGGTCTATAGTAGCTTCAAGGAGTCTCAATGAGCAACTGGGCTCAGCAAGCTGCAACACAAATCCAAATCCCGTCTCTGCCACTCCCCTCCTGGGTAAGCCTAGGCAAGTCCTTTCCTTACCAAGCCCCCGAATCTGCTCCTTGTCCTGGAACCACAGGAGGACAAGGTGGGAAGAAATGATCTAAGATCCCCTCCAAATTTTACTCATGATTCTTGATTACCCATCCAAATCCCACAGTTTCAAACACAAAACCTCAACCAAGTATAGGAGGCCACTGACCGGAAGACCAAAGTTGAGAAATAGGAGATCTTGGCTTAGGTCCCCACTTTGCCACTAATTAACCTCCATCTGATCCGCTGACATAAGGTCTCTGAGTTCTGAAATGTAGCTAGTTCATTTCACTTCACCAGCTCTGAAATGTGGCCAACAGCATCTTGATGGGGTGTGAAGGCATGAAAGGCATTAATTAAGTCAGGGACAGGAGAGGCCTTTTGCCATTGCAAAGAGAGAAAGTCCTAGACAGGGATCTTCCTGCTTGGGCTCTATTCCAGACTCCATAAGAACCGGAGTGCCTCAGGTGAAGATGCAAATCTCTTCAGGATCTGGCACCAGACTGCCCACTTGCTGGCCCCAGGCCGCGCTTCAGATACCTTACTGCTGTGCTCTCTTCATTTCCTTGTCCTTATATAACTCCCTTTGCTTGGAATGCCACCCACATCTCTGGTTCAATTAGAGGATGCAAAACTAGTTGATCCTCCAGTCAAACAGAGCCCATGGATATGTAACACTTTGGTCAGTGCTATGTTCTTTACAAATGTGAATTCACATACCTTAGGCGGGACAAGAACCCTCCGGCTGTCACCATGCTCACCACTTCCTACTGTCTTTCTCTTAGCCACTTCTCTATTTTAATTTTCTACCCAACCAGTAAGGGCCTCTGAGTTTGATACCCCTGGTCTAATTATTCCTTATCTTTTTTTTTTAAAGATTTATTTATTTATGCATACAAGGGTACAGGCCAGAGGCATTGGGGGCATGGGTGAGGGGATTCACCAGTGACAGAGTGGGGAGCAGAACAGGTGGATCTACTGAAATACACCGCTGAGCAGACAGCGGGTGAGGCAGGAGAGGTCTGCTGTGCCATGTGGGTCAACTCCTTGGATGAGGTAGCTGTGGATAGCTTCACAGTAATGAACCCTAACCCCTTGCGCCACCAGGGAGGCCCTATTCCTCATCTTTTAATGAACCTCTGAAAATCTTTTGGGAGCCGGAGACCTCTGTCACATACATTTTTTTACAACTTCAGCCAAGAATCCCTGATAAGGCCCAAAATGAATGCTAACCCCACCGATTCTTTCTTTGTTTTGTAGTAGGAAGGTTTTCCCACTCTCTCCCCAGCATTTCACCTGCAGCCGCATTCACTCTTATTTAAGCCTCCCTAGTACATATGACTATCATGTGGGAAACCCAGGTCTTTGAACTCATATCCAAACCTTTCTACTGATACATCTCATACATTGGTTGTCTGCCCACCCCTTCAGTATTAACTCTTCCCTAGGATCCCACCTTGTTCTCAGGCTCTCCCTCAGCAACCTTATCCACCTTCATGCCCAGATGTCTCCCTTAAGTGTCAGGTCAACATGTCTTACTGAAGACCTCTCCCTGAGAGTCCTAGAGACAACTCTCTTTCATCATGACTAAAGAACACCCCATCTTCTCCTGAAACCAGCACCTCAATCTATATTTCTGATCTCAGTTAATGTTAATGCTTTTCAGACTCCCACACTAGAAATCCTGGTACCATTTTTGGTTTCTCCCTCTCCTTCATAATCCACCACACTGAACTCCAGTGCAGTCCACTCTGCATGTCTCTTAAATCTGTTTCCTAGTGGGAACCTTCCTGGTGGCGCAGCAGTTAAAGTCTCAGCACTATCAAGCTATCACAAGCCACTGGCAGGGAGGTGACCCACATGGCGCAGCAGACCTCTCCTGTCTCGCCAGCTGCTCCCCTCAGCAGTGTAGTTCAGTGGATCTGCCTGTTCTGCTCCCCCACTGTCTCTCACCCCCCCCACACCTCTGCCTTACACCCAGTTCTTGTATGCATAAATAAATAAGCCTTAAAAAAAAGCCAGAATAATCTCTTCAAAACATAGTAATACACCTATACTGAACATTTACCAAGTGCGAGGAAGTGCTCTCAGAGTATCATATTCTTTCCATCCTCACCATAACCTACAAGGTAGGATCTATTTTCATTCCCAATTGACAATGAAGAAACTGAGACATAGAAAGGTTAAGTTCTTAACCTCCAAATCACAGAAATGTAAATCAGAAACTGCTTGAAACCACTACTTTCACAGAATGAAATTTAAATTCATCATATCCTAATGCTCTACATAATCTAATCTCTACTTAACGCTCCAAATTAAGTTCCTCCACCTTATTCCACTCTTACTATATTATATTCTAGCCACTATGATCTTCTATTGCTTAAATGGGCTTTTTCCCATTGCTGTCCCCTCTGCCTAGAATATATTCTGCCCCCGTTCATGACCTGCCTCATTCTTCAAGTCTCAGCTTCATTACTCTTGTTCCATTACCTTATTTTCTTCCTTTGCACTTACAATGATCTTTATCTTGTTTTCATGTTCACTGTCTTGTCTCTACCACTAGAATATAAACGCCAGAACAGAAAACTTGTTGGTCTTCTATCCCCAGTGCCCAGCACACTGTCTGTACTTAGGAAACCTTTGATGAGTAAGTGTATTTGCCACTGCCTCTACAGGTGGTGGCCCTCATTCTCTTCTCTGTATGCTGAATTCCTATTCATCCTTCAAGACCCAAGTATCAGCTCTTCAAGCAGCTGTGATTTTCTAAGACCTCACTGCACTTCTTACAGACCTCTAAGACATCCTGGTGCTTTTTAGGTGTTCTTGTATCTCTTCCAGTCACTTCACTGGAGTATCTACAGGGGATAAACATCTTCCCACCCCATGTTTAGCTTTGTATCTGGCACAGTGCCGTTGCTTTAACTATGTTTGTTGAACACATAAAGTAAGTTTGTGGAAAACTAGGGGCTGACCCAAAATTGATTACCAAATGTTCCGCCACTAACCACTGCCCCTACCTATGTAGAGCTATCCACCCCTCAGATGGAAGTGCGTGTCCTAGGACCGGACTTCTCTGGATCTATTTCCCTGGCCATGGCCTCACCTGCCAATGATGTCCTTAGGGTCGTACTTCTGGTAAAACTCCTTGGCCGCGGCCCAGTCGGGCAGCTCATCCTCCGCACCCACGTCCAGCGTCATTCTGCAGGAGGAGCGGGCCTGTGTAGAGGAGAGGGAGGACTGTGAGGGGAGCGAGGCCCACAGGCTCTGAGAAGACGCACATCGCGGCTCGCGGAGGCGTAGCCCTTGCGGCTGGGGCGCCAGGGTCCTGGGGGATGGAAATGGGTGGGGGAAGGATCGGGACTGGGGGGACCCCGCGAAAGGGTTTAGGGAGCGGGAGGGATGACAGGGCTGGGAGGGGGGCAGGGAAGGGGGAGGGGAGAGGTGCGGAGAAAGGGGAAGGGGCACTCCCGCGGGCGGCTGTTGCTGCGCAGGCGCACTTGGGCGGGCGCTAGCAGGGGCGCGGGGTCTCGCGCAGGCCCACCCGCGGGGGCGGGGAGAGAAGCTAGGGTCGACGGGAGACCGGTCTGTCCCCGGGGTTCGCCTCTAGTCTCTTCATTTACCTCCGCCAGTGCCGGTAACGACCTGAGGCCACGCCTCCATCTTGCCCAATGGCCAATGGCCAGAGCCGTCCGAAGACTGAAGTTCAAAAGTCCTTCTGATTGGAAACTGGTAGTCCAATAGGGAGCTGAGCGCCCCGAGGCTGGCGCGGGCGTTGGAACTCGAAGTCATCTCAGGCGACGTTAGGGCGGGGTTTCAAATACGGCCAATCAGCGCACGGCACCTGCTGGGGCGGCGAGGGCGGCGCTTGCTGCTGGCGTTTAGAGAGGCCGAGGGAGGGAGCCGGAAGTTAAGTTCCCCGGGAAGTACGCCCTCTGGGCTTCTGGATGCTGGGCTTGCTGTGCCTGATTCCCGGACTCGGGCATGCCATCCCCGCCCCTCATTCTTCTTCCAACTGAAGTCGGCTCTTTTCAAATATTAGCAATCTGATCCAAAGCGCCCGTCTTGAGGGGCAGATCCAGCCCCTAAAATGCTCGGAAGCATCGTGGACCGCAGTTTGGCCACATGGTGCGCACCTGGACGAGCTTCCTCCTGTGGCTGCTCCGATTCTTCAGTATATCTAAAGCCCTAAATGCTCACCATCTGGGATGATACAGATCATGAGCATACAAATTTCCCAGTCTTCAGCCACCCCCTGCTAAAAGCCACGGTCTGTATCGGTCACACTCTGTTCTCTAAGCCTACCAGGTTGTGAGAGTTTGCCAGAGTAACTTCATTGCCCACTACTGCACAGTTCGACTTTGGCATTCACTCATTCAACAAATAATGAAGCATCCACATGGACAGCAATGAAAAGAAGCCCCTACCTTGTGGAAGTTAGATTCCAGAGAAAGGGGCACAGAATGAAGTCATTTAATCTTCCAGTAGCTTATCTTTGAAATGTCGTTTTGGGAAAGGAGTGAAACGGCCCTCTTTCCTTTCTTAGATGTTCAACCTCACTCCTACCTCTTTCTGATAAGCTCATGGCCCAGCACTGCTATGCAAGGGGAAAAAATGAATCCAAGTAACTTTTTAAAAAATATTTATTTATACAACTGGGGTACAGGCCAGGGGCGCGGGAGGATGAGAGAATTCACCAGAGACAGAGAGGGGAGCAGAACAGGCAGAGGGACTGAAAACACTTTTGAGGGGAGCAGCGGGTGAGGCAGGAGAGGTCTGCCGCACCATGTGGAAATCTCCCTGGGCAGCCTGGAATCAAACCGGCTCTGCAGAGGCTGCGGACATCACAGCGCTGCTCTCAACCAGCTGCGCCACCAGGGAGTCCCCAAGTTAACTTTTTAATGGACTACTTTGACTCAGTCAAAACACTAGAGGATTGCAAAATCTTACTTAGGCATATTTGGTAATGGGGTAGTTTTTGAAATTGAGTAAATGAATATATTGACGTAGTTGGCAGAGTTCTTCGTATGGGAATATGGACTGGAGAAAGACGAGAAAGCTTATGACTGAAATTGGAGGTATGATTTTTAAAATAAATAAAATTAGGCGCGCAGACCTCTCCTGCCGCCCGCTGCTTCCCTCAGCAGTGTATTTCAGTTTGCCTGCTCTGCTCCCCACTCTGGCTCAGGTGAATTCTCTTGCCCTCCCGCGCTTCTGACTGTACCCAGTGCTTGTATAAATAAAAATAAATCCTTAAAAATAAAATAAAATAGATAAAATTAGATATTTTCTAGTTTTAATTTCTGAAAGGCCTGGGAGCATAATATCCCAATAAAATGAACATAGCTAGTATCTAGATACTGATTTCGGAGTAGCAGTCCCCAGTAAAAGGAACCAGGGTTCCTTAGAAGAAGGGATTCCAGGGCCTCCCTGGTGGCTCAGGCAGTTGAGCACAGCGCTGTGAAGCTGGACGCAGTCTCTGCAGAGCGGGTTCAATCCCACCATTCAGGGAGATACCCAAATGGCGCGGCAGACCTCTCCTGTCCCGCCCACTGCTCCCCTCAGCAGTGTATTTCAGTCAGTCTGCCTGTTCTGTTCCCAGCTCTGTCTCTGGTGAATCCTCTCACCCTCACACACATCTGGCCTGTATGCATGAATAAATCTTTAAAAAAAGTAAAAGGATTCTGATGCTGGCACAGAGGAAGTACGTTTTATGTCAGAGAATAAGTGAAAAGACTTACCAGAATGACTCAAAAACCAGGTTGAAGTGGAGTCCACTGGTTTAAATCAAAACAAGAGAATGAGACTGAAAGGGCCCTAAGTGAGCCTTCTGATAGGCTGGAAACACTCTGTTCACTTACATGGTGACTAATAAGTATGGTCATATAAAAACATTCATCACCTGCACACTTAAGAGGTGTGTGCACATTATGTAAATTATACCCCAACATTTTAAGAAGGATAATGACAGTGATGTATATAGTAACTTGAACAACAACAAAAAAAATCTGAGGTCACACTGACAATAAAAATTTCAAATAAATGAGAAAAAGATGTTAACAGAATGCCAACTAATAAATGTAGAAAGAATAATAAGGGCCTCCCCGGTGGCGCAGCGGTTGAGCGCTGGGTTGCAAAGCTGCCGGCGACCTCTGCGGCGCCGGTTCGATCCCTGGCTGCTCCCCGGCCACCGGAGGAGGGTCCCACATGGCGGTCTTTCTGCCTGCTCTGCTCCCCACTCTGGCTCTGGTGAATTCTCTCACCCTCCCGCGCTTCTGACTGTACCCAGTGCATGTATAAACAAAACGAACGAACAAACAAATAAAAAAAAAAAAAAGAAAGAATAATAAAGTTAAAACATGAATATTTTGTAAGTCTCATAATTGAGTTGGGCAAAGTATTAAAATCATTGGTGAAAGGGCACAAGGGATTAAGCGTTAGCACTATGAAGCAATCCACCACAGCCAGGGCAGCACGAGTTCGATCCCTGGCCAAGGAGGTGACACACATGGCACAGCAGACCTCTCCTGTCACGCCCCGCTGCTTCCCTCCGCTGTGTATTTCAGTCAATCCACCTCTTCTGCTCCCCACTCTCTCTGGTGAATCTTCACACATACACACACCCCAGCACCACTAGCCTATACCCCAGTTCTTATATGCATAAATAAGCCTTTAAAAAAAATTAAAAAGATAAAATTATTGGCGAAAATTGCTGGGGAACAGGGTATTAATAGATTACTTTTTATTTATTTTATTTTTTTAATATATATATATTTTAAGATTTATTTATTTATTTATACAAGCACTGGGTACAGTCAGAAGCGCGGAAGGTGAGAGAATTCACTAGAGCCAGAGCGGGGAGCAGAACAGGCAGAAGGACCAAAGTACACTGCTGAGGGGAGCAGCGGGCGGCAGGAGAGGTCTGTGCACCATGTGGGACCCTCCTCTGGTGGCCGGGGAGCAGCCGGGGATCGAACCGGCGCTGCAGAGGCTGCGGGCAGCTTCACAACCCAGCACTCAACTGCTGCGCCACCGGGGAGGCCCTAGATTACTTTTTAATTACAAAAAAAAAATTATCTTGAAGAAATCTGACAGACACTAACCAAATTATTAATCTTACCATCACCAAGAGGAGGGAGGACTGGCACCATATGCTTTCTGATGTGATGTACTGAGGACACACAGTAGTCCTACCAAAAATTCAGAACCTGAATTCAATCATAAGAACCCAATTTGAGGGTCTCCCTGGTGGCACAGGGGTTAAAGTCAGTGCTAGCACAAGTCTGATCCCCAGCCAGGAAGCTGACCCACATGGCATACAGACCTCCCGTTGCGCCCGTTGCTCCCCTCAGCAGTATATTTCAGTAGATCTGCCTGTTCTGCTACCCACTCTGTCTCTGGTGAATCCTCTCATCCCCCACACCTGTGGCTTACACCCCAGTTCTTATATGCATAAATAATTAAATCTTTAAAAAAAAAAATTTGAGATACTACAAACTGGCCTTACTTCAAAAATGTCATGAAGGACAAAAAAAGGACAAGGACCCTTTCAAAATTGAAAATGAAACAAATAAATGTAACGAGTGTTCCTACACTGGATTCTAAAGCAGAAGAGACAATTGCTATAAAGGACGTTACCGGGAAAATAATACATTTGAACACAGAATATATATTAGAAGATATTAATGGTAACGTCTATGAATTAATTGCATTGAAGTTACATGAAAGAGTATCTTTGTTCGGGCCTCCCCGGTGGCGCAGCGGTTGAGCGCTGGGTTGCGAAGCTGCCCGCGGCCTCTGCGGCGCCGGTTCGATCCCCGGCCACCGGGCGAGGGTCCCACATGGCGCGCAGACCCCTCCTGCCGCCCGCTGCTCCCCTCAGCAGTGTACTTCGGTCCTTCTGCCTGCTCTGCTCCCCGCTCTGGCTCTGGTGAATTCTCTCACCCTCCCGCGCTTCTGACTGTACCCAGTGCATGTATAAACAAAACAAACAAACAAACCAGCAAACAAATAAATAAAGCATGCCTCTATAAAAAAAAAAAAAAAATTGCATTAAAAAAAAAAAAAGAGTATCTTTGTTCTTAGGAGCTAAGTCATGAAGTATTTAGGTGTGAAGAGCCTTCTTTACAACATACCTCAAACCTATCAGTAATGTGTGTATTTAGAAAGACATAAAAGTAATGAAATATTAAAAATTATAAATCTAGTCAAGGAATAGACAAGTTCAGTAAAGTATGCGTTTATTTATGCATACAAGAACAGGAATAAAGTATTTTACTGTTCTGTGGGTTTAAAATTATTTCATAATCTGGCTTCCCTGGTGGTGCAAAGGGTTAAGCACTGCACCACGAAGCAATCCGCAGCCTCTGCAGCATGAGTTCGATCCCTGGCCAGCCAGGGAGCAACCCACATGGTGAAACAGACCTCTCCTCCACTGCCCAGCAGCAGTGTATTTCAGTCTGTCTGTTTCCCACTCTGTCTCTGGTGAAGACTCTCACCCCCCACACCGCTGGCCTGTACCCCAGTTCTTGTATGCATAAATCAATCTTTTTTAAAAAATTATTTCATAATCTTTAAAAAATAACGATCTCATTCAATCAGTTTGGGGAAATGGGATATTCTCATCTAATAAAATGATACTGCTGATTATTCAAATATTAACTTTTAAAGATTCTGTAAGTGCTCGCTTCGGCAGCACATATACTAAAGATTCTGTAAAAATCCTCTCCAACATGCATTATCTTGATGCCTAGGCAGCACTTGACATCAATTAAATCTCTAAGGGGTAAAGCAGAGACATAAGTTTTTTTTTAAGCCTCTCAGGTGGTTCCAATGTGAAGTCAAATCTAAGAATCACTGCCCTGTATGTGGCTTCTATTCAATGTTATTCCAGCCTCTGGGACAACAATGGATTCTCTTCACTTTCCCCCTTGGGATACTTTGGCGCACTGAAGAAAACCAGTGTGCACCTCTCCCTCTCTCTTCAGTGTGCAACAGCTCTAATTCCTTTGGATTTTCTGTTTGTCTCTGAGTTATAGTGAAGTAACAAAAAATTCCATTCTTAGAGCACACGTACGCCAAGAGACACTTATAAGAATGTCCACAGCAGCATGATTCATAATATCCCCGAACTGAAAACATTCCAAAGTCCACCAACAGAAAATGGGTAAATTGTAATATATTCATATAATGGGATACTATACAGTAATAAAAACTACAGCTACACCAAATACTGATTAATCTCACATGGTAAATTAAAAAAAACAGACAAAAAGAACACAATTTCATTTATACAATGTTCACATGCAGGCAAAGCTAAACTACATTGTCAGAAATCAAAATGTAGTTTCCCGTAGGAAGGAATGGAGACAGGGTATGGTATAAAAGGAGGTTTTGCGATGTTGGCAATGTTCAATTTCTTGACCGAATAGTGGTTTTTCAGATGTTTGTGTTCATCTACTGAGCTGTATATTCTGAATATTTTCCTGTATTTGAGATACACTTCACAGTTTTAGAATGTTTAAAATAGTACCATGAGGGCCAAGATAAAAGATCAAAATTCATTATAACCATAGAGCTTCATACACAGGATGGCAGTTTGTTATCCAATTCTTTCACTCCTCTCTCTGCTATGGAACCATAATGTCTGGGTCCAATCCCAGGTCTGTCCCTTACTACCTATGTGACTTTGGGTAATCTGTGTCTGTTTCCTCAACAATAAAATGAGAACAGTGGTACCCATTAGTGAGGGGTTTTGAGGACTGAAGAAGTTAGGAAATATAAAGTGCTTAGAACACAACTGGGATATAGTAAATACTAAGTAGCAGCTGCTACTACTCTTCCTCTCTGCTTCAGGGTCTCTGTTGATGTGGAAGGAAGAAGCTGGGGTCTTTCCAAAGCAAAAAGAACAATCCTCTCCTCTTAATTAGATGTCCTATCTGGCTCTCACCAAAGACCCAGGGCAAAGCATGGGATGAACAATTAAACAGGAGCATTTCACTAATAAAAAAGTTTTTATTATGAAACAAATTTTTTCTAATAAAATCAGGTCTGGTGTCCAACCCCGCCTCTCTGGGTAAAGACCCATAGGATGAGGTTGGGGGCAATAGGGGTGGTGGGCACTGGAAGTACAGAGTAGGCTAGGCTGACCTCCCCCATCATCGGGTCTTATTCCTATGTCTCAGCTGCTTCCTTCCTTTTATAAAAACTAAAAGTTCTTCCAAAACCCTTTGAGAGGCACCATTCTCCTGGCCAGGAAGGACCATTGCTAGCACCAGTCCCTAGCAATACCGCACTGCAGGATCCAGGAGGTCTCGACTGACTCAGCAGAGGCCACCCAGGGTCATTCAGCCTGGGCGATGGCGTAGGAGAGCAGCCACAGCAGCAAGGGGCCCAGAATAAGAACAGCAAGCCAGACAGCAAAGCTGGCCAGGATGAACCTCCGGGCCCGGGCCCCCCAGTGCACTGCCTCCTCCAACTGGCCTCTCTTATGCCGCTCTTCTGCCTGTGGGGGCAAGTTTTTGGTTAGGTTTTCCCCCTGCTTCTGCCCCAAAGTGCCTTTGCCTCACTCCACTCCTCCTTCCCTGTCATGGCTCAAAACTTCATACCCAAATCCTCTAACTCCCTCTCTGATCTCTCTCTCATGCCTTATCTGAAAAGTAAGGAACCCACTCTACCTTGCCTACTGTTCAAAGTAGCTATTGTTACCTCACAAGAGTGCAGGTGGTACTCACAAGCACAGAGGTACTCACAAGAGTACTTTTCACATCTTTTATCCTCCTCTCCTTTTCTACTCAGACCAGATCCATTCAGAATCTGGAATTGTTGGCAAGAAAGAGTATCTTGGGATATTTAATTCATGTCCAACCAAGTGACATTCCATCCTCATAAGCCCACTGGGCTTTATCTTTTTCATTATTAAGAATTTTTTGATCATTTTGCCCTAATTAAACCCAGAAATTGTTATGATAGAAATAGTTTCTAAGTATTAAAATACAATTAGGGTTGAGAAAACTCAAGCGTGATGTTTAAGCTAACCTGTGTGGCCTTATATGTCTTTACACATATGTGCAGGTTCTATTAGCTGTTTTGAAATGGCAAAGTCCTTTCAAACACCCCATAGGTTAATCACTGCTTGGTTGCCTCCAGTGTTGCCCCTTCCAACTCAACCTCTATGTAGGCCTTGGGAGTGAATTTGCTGAAATACAAATCTGACCATGTCACTTTTCTCTGCAAAAACCCTTCAATGGCTTCCCAGTACTTTCAAGATCAAGTTGAAACTCTTCAGCACAGCTCTTGGGTATCTGAGCACTGCGGCTTAACCTCTCACTTCTCATTGGTCCAGCATGCCAAATAAATAGTCTAGGGCTTTATATATATTGCTCACTTTACCTGGAATGTCCTTTCAACCTTATTCACTCATCCTTTAAGGTTACTTTCCTATCACATCCCCTACGGATGACTTTCCTGTCATCTACTTCACTATACATAATCACATGCATCATCCCTGGCTCCCAGAATACCCTGTGCTTCCTCATCATAGTACTGATGTGCTGCATTCCTTATCCATTTTCACAGCTGTCTCTTTTCTTAGACTGTGGGCCTTCTGATAGCAGGAAACAGGTCTTATTCTTATGTCCAGGCCCAAAGCCAAACTCTGATAAGTACTTAGTAACTGATGTGGATTGTTCAGAAATAGGAAACCATTGCTTTACTGTTCCCACCCTTCCACCCCCAACTCCCATAAGGAATTGCATTCCTCACCTTGATGGCAAAAACAAGGGCCACAACTCCCAGGCAAGAGCAGCCACAGATAATGCTAGTAGCTGCCAAGTAGCGGAGGCGGAGCCAGCAGCAACGGATGGGGGATGGAGAATGAGCAGCTTCCGTGTTGCACACCAAGCTCTCCACTGCCTTCTCCTCGTCCTCCATCACCTGTGGGCGATATGGTCAAGGTATCTGTAAACTCAATTGAGCTCCTCATCTGGCTTGCTCAGACTCCACCCCTTTTCTGATGAAGTCCTTGTGACTTAGCTCAACTCTCTGGAATGCTGCCTTACCAGGGAATACCTCTAGTGACTCACAGACCAAGAAGGTAATGTGTGATTAGAACCCTTATTTCTCAGCCTAAGATTCCAAGTCTTTAAAAGCAAGCCAATGTGAACATAGCATTATCTGCATTACTTAAGTGAGGAGAAGCAAAATAACAGGTGCATACTGAGCAGGAGAAAAAACAAAATCTCAGAAGCTGCTAGGAATGAGACTATCCAAATCAGTGATTTTAAACTATATCTCAAAGGGTCCTAAAATGTCCCACAGGCTATGATTACTAAAGGATCAGATGGGCACCTGGGACCTTGTAACCACTTCAAGCAAATCAGCTCTACCATGTGAAAACACAGCACTGGAGATGGGGGACAAGGGAAAAGCACCCATCTCAAGCTTTCTTGTTTGTAGCTGAGAAAACTGAACCTCAGAAAGCCCTTCTCTTCCCAATTTGGGAGTGTCCTTTGCTATGCTCACCCCTGCCTCCTCCTTTTAACCCAGGCCACATAACACAGATTAAGTCTGCATGACCTCATTACTCACAGAAACCTGCATAATGGTCTCCTAGTTAATCATGTCCCATCTCAAGTTCTGAGTTCCAGTATCTAACCACCTGTTCCTACCCTCATATCCAACAATTCTCCTACATCCCTACATCCTAGACAAAATCGGTCCGTATGCAGCTTTCTCAACACAACGAAGGATAGAAAGGGTGAAAAAAGCAAGATAAGCAGAGTATGTGCCACAAAGCTGCTAGATTGACTATGTGGAAAGAACTCATGAGGTAAACAGTGTGTCATCACAGAGAGATCACAGAGAGAATGTGTCCAGAGAGTTCAGCTCAGAGAAAATATGAAAAAGAAAAGGGATTCTTACCTGGCTATAGGCCTTGAGGGACTGTGAGTTTCCGCTCCTGGCTCAGGTTTGATTTGGCTTGGGTGGAGATGGAGCTGACTCAGGGCTCCAAGCCAAGCCCAGGGGTGGGATTGGGTGTGGCCAGTCACCACCTTAAGAGACTACAAGCTCAGAAGGGGGCGTGGCTGACACAAACCAGTTTGGCTAGATGAGAAAGGCAAGGGGTGGGAGTGAGGAGTAACTAGAGGTAGGATGCCTACCTTCTGTAAAAGTAAAAGCACCTGAACAAGAGGGATAAAAGAGAAAAATCTGAGGCACCAGAGAGCACTTGGAGGGAAAGATCAGAAAGTAAGAATAGGAAAGTAAAGTATGAGGTGCTGAGGGATTTAAACTTTCGGGAAATTCACACTCCCAGTTCAGATTTGCCAATCTTCCCCCTTCTTGGGTACAAATTTCTGTCTGAGATATAGAGTTCTGGATTAAAGTCGAGATCCTAGGGTTTTGGAAAGAGTGAGAGGGGGGAAAAAAGTGCTGCCCAAGTTCCCACCCAACCCTCCACCAGACCAGAAAAATAGAAGCCTCCTTACGCGGATGCTCATACAGAAACTAAGTTTATTATTTTTTTCTTCTTTAAAAAAAAAAAAAAAAAGGAAAAAAAAACTCATTGTAGAGAGAAGCCCCTCCCCCTTCCCCTAAGGGTGGGGGGCTGTGAAAGATAGCTGGGGAATCAAGTACAAGGGGGTGGGGACAGAGACTATCTTGCCACCCTTAACACTGCCCAGCCATGTGGGGTGGAAGGGAAGGGGATGTGTGAAGAGCCCCATTTCCATGACAACCAGTTGCCTACCCCCTACTTTGGTGGAAAGAAGGGAGAAGGCCCTTATGTCTCCCTGGAGGCTTTCCCCCTCAAGACTTCAAGTAGTGGTTAACAGAGTCAGGCCTGGTTGTGGAGGGAGAGGGACCATGGTGGAAAGCCTAGGTAGAGGGGCAGCCCATTCACGTCTTGGCCTTACGGCCTCTGTGACTAATGGTAGGGCCAGCCAGGTGGGGAGGGGCACTGCTACGCAGAATGCGCTGGTCCCCTTGGTTGGTGGCCCCACTGAGCCGGCGGGAGCCAGGCCTCCTGCGTGGGGTCCCATCACCTTCCTCCTCCTCACCCGAGGCTTCAGCCTCAGACTCCTCTACTGAACCCTCAGGCCCCAAGGGACTGGGGGGCTGTAGACGACCCCGCTTTGTTAGCCCAGGTCCACCACCAGCAGGGGCCCCTGCCCGTTTTCGAGGCACCTTCTCAGTCTCTAGCGGGGGGACTAGAGACCCTGGACGCAGCCGGGTGGAACGCAGTTTTGGAGCTATTGAGATCACAGGAGGTGTCAATTCTAACCCACCTGGCCCACTATCTGCTAAATCCAAGTCATCCTGAATTACAGCCACCACCATGGACCCTTCACTCTTTCGTCCCCGAATCCCCTCTGCTTCAAGGCGCAGGCGGGCCAGGCGGGTGAGGGGGCGGCTTCCATCCTCATCAGAGGAACTACCCTCACTCTCCCCCTGGCCCTGGGCTTGCCGTCGCCTCCCCAATCCACAGCTCTCAAGGACAGAAGAGCTGTCACGGTCCAAGACAGGAAGCTGGCTAGGCCGAGGTGATGGTGGATTCTTGGGAGGTCGGCCCCGCTTCCGCTTGGGTGGGGATGATGAAATGGTGAGAGTTGTGACAGTGTTGGCGACAGTAGCAGTGGGACAGGCTAAGAGTGGTGGCAGCGGGAGTGGCTGTGTCCGGCTCTCTAAGTTGCCGTCCCCTGGAGATGAAATGGTCCCAGGAGTGGGCAAATCTCGTGCCTTAGGGGGCCGCCCACGCCTTCTTTTCTCCACAGGTGATAGGATGATGGACTCGGGTCTATGAATTGGCTGGGGTCCAAGAGGCTGGGGACCAGGAATAAGCTGGGGTCCTAGAACAGGCTCCGCAACAATAAGGGTCTCAGCCCCAGGGACCTGGTCAGCCCCGTTGGTTTTTCCCTTAGAGGTGGATGAAGGTGCTTCATCTACCCCTCGCCCAGCATCTGCTGGAGACCTGTTCTTCTTGGGGGGCCTCCCCCTCCGACGTTTCACAGCAGGAGGTGTGATGGCAAGCAATGCCCCTTCTCCATTCTCTGGACTGCCCCCACCAGTCACCCCCAGCTCAATGCGACGGCGAGCTATGAAGGGCTGCTGGGTTGGGGTGGGCAGTGTGGATGAAGGAGCAGCTTCACAGGGCCCACTGGTGGGAGGTGAGGATTCTGGCCCTGACATGCTGCGAGTAGATGGACTTCCTGGGCTGGCACCAGTCTCAGAGACCCCAGGCACTAGGGTGCTGGCAGTTGCCCGCTGCTGTCGCCGTCGCCTCACCAGTTCCTTTTCCTCTACCACAGTTACTAGTCGTCCTGGCAGCTTGCGAAGCACTTTGGGGCCTGGAGGCTGCCCTGGCCGGCCAGCCCCCTGACCCCTAATTTCTACATCAGCACTTGTGCGACGCCGAGGGGGCCGGGCAAGTGAAGGGCCTTCAGGCGAGGAGGTGGCTGAGGATGAGGTTGATGGGGCTGCAACCTCAGCTGAAACAAGTTCCTGTGGCTTCTCTGGGCTGGAGATTGGAGTCTGGGCCTCCACCAGCTCTTCTGCTTTCTTGTCAGCCTCCAATGGCTCCTGAAGTAGCTCATCAGATGCTGCTGAGGGTGGGAGATCCAGCCCATTGCTCTCACTCAAACACATGGGCGCCTCCTTCCCATCAGGCAGCACTGTGAGGATGGGCCCCTCAGCAGACTCTGGCACCTCCTGCTCTTGACCGTTGGGGATGCTGCCAGCCTCCAGAGTTGGGCTAGGTGCAGAAGAGGTGAGAGAAAGGTTCTTCTCTGACATAGGTAGGATCTCAACAGCAACGGGCAACAGATCCTTAGGGGGCACAAGAGTATGCAGGGAAGTCTCGGAACTGGCAGTATCAGCCAGCTCTAGGGATTCGGCAGATGCCAATGCTTGTGCACACAGCTCTGCCTCAGGCCCCAGTCCCAAAGGGAAGTTGGTGACTGGGGGGGAGACGGGTACAGAAGGTAGACCAAGCAGGGGAGGGGAAGGAGGAGTTATGAGAGAGGTTTGGGTTGGAGGTGGAGTATGAGTTGGTGGAGGGGTACAAGCAGGAGGAGGGGTACAGGCAGAAGAACAAGAGGAAGGAATCTGCGAAGGAGGAAGTGGGGGAGAAGGTAGGATATGGACAGGAAGTGTGGTCATTGGACTGGGGGCTGAAATGGGGATCGGGGCAGGGACTGGAACAGGGGTTGGGGCAGGGATTGTAGCAGAAGCAGAAGTTGGAGTGGGTCGAGGTCTAGGTGATGGCCGGGGAACTCGTTCCCTGGCAGGGCTGCAGCGAGGGGGAGTGGAGGTGCTGCGGGCATGATGGGTGGATGTGACAGGAGTGTGGTTTGCCCCTTGAGTCTCAGCCCGGGCTCCACGAAGACGCTCACTGACGCGAGTCCCTGGCCTTTCAGGGGCCTTTGCCTTCTTACTGCGTCGGTGGCTGCCTCCACCAGTCCCACAGGAAACCTCATCCCCAGCCCCTGGCCCCTCCTCCTCCTCTTGGGGTAAGCGGAAGACCTCCTCCTTGGCTTGGTCCAGGTCCTTGCGGGCAGCTTCCACTTGCTCCTACCAACAACAGAGCCCATGGGGTGGTCGGAGGGAGGCAAGTAGGGCGGGGAGTAAGTAGAAAGCAACAGCTTCCCACTTCTAGCCCCATCCCCTAGAAATACTCACTTCTGCCTGCTTGAGCTCCTCTCGGCTCACCTCCTCCAGTGAGGCTTCCAGGAATTTCATGGCATACCGCTCAATGGGAGTAAGCTGTGGGGAGGAAGAGTGGTGGTAAACACTGAGGTCTGGTGTCCAGGGCCCATCATTTTTGATTATGATTGCTAGGGAAAATAGGAGAGTCACAGAGTCCAGAAGGAGTTGTGGAAAGTGAGGTTGAGAATTAGTCCAACACTGACCTGTTCTACAAGGGCAGCAATTTCCTGCTCAGCCCGGGACATCTCCTCATCTTCGGCCCCAGGTCGACTGGTCTCCTCTCCCTCACCAGCAGGAAACCCATCATTCTCATTAAATTCTGCAAGTTCAGCAACCTGTTCAGCCTTGGCCTGGGTAGCAGCACGGATATCCTCTTCATCCTCTGCTCGACATAATGCCTTGTAAGGATATGGGGGGCAAAAACAAGAGCACTTTACTTTCTGTGGTTTCATTCTGGCAAAAGTTTACACCAAAGCAGGTTTACAACAGAACTCAACTCTCTCTGGGCAACCTGAGTTACTAAAGCAATACATAGGATGAAATGGACTAGACCAAAACTCCCATCAGGGACAAAAGAACTGCTTGAGATCTCTAGCTCTACCTCCTTTTCCCAGTTAGCCTTAAGCTCATTTTAAAAAAGCAGTCCCAGGGGGCCTCCCTGGTGGCGCAAGGGGTTAAGATACAACCTATGAAGCTGTCTGCAGCCTCTGCAGCATGAGTTCGATCCCCCGGCCGGCCCGGGAGCAACCCACATGGTGCAGCAGACCTCTCCTGACTCGTCCGCCGCTCTCCTCAGCAGTGTACTTCGGTCAATCTGCCTGTTCTGTTCCCCACTCTGTCTCTGGTGAATCCTCTCACCCCCCACACCTCTGGCCTGTACCCCAGCTCTTGTATGCATAAATAAATCTTTAATAAATAAATAAAATAAAAAAGCAGTCCCAGAAAACTTTGAATATAAAAAAAATGCACAATTATCTTTTGCATGGACAATAGACTAACATCTGATTTTTCCTGAGATGAATATCCAAGGAGCTCACACCAAAATTACCAAGGGAAGCAGCCTAGAGCATGCTCAGCAATGAGAGGAAGGCACTTTATTATCATCCCCATGATAATCTACACCTACAGTTCCTAAATACGTCTGCTACCTACAGTTCCTAAATACGTCTGAAAAAAATATAAAATGCTCAGAATTCACTCCCCAAAATCATGATTTAAAAGATTTTGAGATGGGTCCAGGAACTAATCCTTTTAAAAGCTTTCCACATAATAATGATATACATCAATATTTAGAAAGGAAGAATTTTGCACCATATACTAAACACTTCCTATATCTATTGTGTCATTTAATCCTTAGTTACTTTCTTCTCATTAGTATTTCAGAGAAGTGAAAAGTGAGGCTCAGAAGATTAAACAGATGGCTTGAATACAAATATTAAGAAGCATTGTCAGCATGCAAGTCTAAGTTAGAACTCCAATCCTGTCTCATATGAAGCATGTGAACCAATAAGCAACCAACTTGTAACTATCAAAGGCCAACTGTAAGCTGGGAAGCAGCAGGAACAGCAGTGCTCCCTCTCTACCACCAAATCCCCAGCTAGCTGATATGGCCAGTTCCAAGACTTCCCCTCTTGATCTGCCCCTTGAGGTTCTGTTGCCCGATGCTATTGTGATCCTACCTATGTCAGAGAAGAACCTTTTTCTTACTTCTTCTGCATCTAGCCCAACTCTAGACACTGGTGGTATTGG